TACTAACTTTTGGAGGCCTCAAACACATGCTTCTTGCACCTTGTGATGATCCACTACTGGTTGTACAGACTTAGGTGACTTAATTACTAAGCTGATTTCCTTGTATCCCCTTGACAATGGACTTGGTTTTTCAGAAGTACATGAGTAAAACGTGTTATTAAAGTTAACTCCAATAAAGCAGATATTATGGAGTTAAAATTAATTTGAATGCAAAATAACTTGAACTTTACAATTATTTGAAACTATTTGGGTCATTCAGAATTAAGCATAGATGTGATAGTATAGTTGAAAGTTTTAGTGCAGTGGTATCATAAATCTGTGGTATGAACATATGTGAAATTTGTAGTTGTTCCATACGTTACTTTACTGTTGACATTTGTTTAAATTTAATAAAATGTGTTTTACACTGTTTACAAAAAAAATTGTGCGGTTATTAAATATTTTGTTAGAAAAAGTTATCACCAACAGAAATTTGCAGAGATATGAAAAATATTGTAGAGGATTCTGCTTTTTCATTTTTAACAATTTTCAGAACTGAATTTAAATATGGTCATGAAAGACTGGGAAATGATCCTTTCAGTGGATATCTGAAAAGTGCATCAACACCAGAAATCATTAACAAAATTCACAATATAATTTTATAAGACCAACAATTAACACTGGTGCATTATAGCTTCATGGGGCCAGGCAAATTCAAATTAGAGGTCCTATTCAGATATTTTTCTTCTGAGAAATTTTTTGGGAATCCCTTGATATCCTCATTTATTTTTTCAACACAACCTCTGCAGGATTAAGTTCTGTGTTAAGCCTGTGCCACACCAGCACTCTAGAGTCCTCCAATATGATGCCAAATTTAAATTTTGATATTCTTACTACTGTAATGAGTTTACAAAAGATTAGTTTGGAGTCCCTGTTTGTGGAGGGCCTAGGCAATTGTCCTTTTTGCCCATAAAATAATGTGTCACTGACAATTAAAGGTATCTGACATTGCTAAAGTTGTAAGCATTTTGAATCAGCATTTTGTATCTTGACTGAATAATTACATATCAGAAAACTAGTCACAAGATTAACTGTTAACAAATGCAACACCTAACAAAAAAATTAATAGACAACCAACCATCAACCGTAATAATCGGGCAGATTACAAGCAACAAATATTAAATTTGGAAATTATGTGATAAGGCATTTGCCATCTATTGACAATAGTAGTAACAAGGATTTTAAATTTTAAGTTTTAGAATTTATAGTAGTCTGGAAGGAAAGAATCGGCCTGGAAATCTAAGATCCTAGTTACTACTTTTGTCAATAGATGGCGCCTAACGCCTTATCATATAATTTCCAAATTTAATATTTGTTGCTTGTAATCTGCCCTATTATTATGGTTGATGGTTGGTTGTGTATTAATTTATATTTATCGGGTTAATGTGATGTTGTGTTGTCAAAAACAAGTTCTTGCTCAAATTTTTTAAGATTGTATGGATTGTTTCAAGAAAAACAAAACTGATTTTGCACACAGATTTGTTACCATAGATGAGACTTGGGTCCATCAGTACACACTAGAAACAAAACAATGAAAACAAAAGACGGAACCCAGATGCTTGGCACCAAAGTAGGCAAAAGTGGTTCCATTTGTAGGAAAAGTCACAGTATCAGTTTTCTGGGATGTTAAAGGAATATTCTAATAGATTATCTTCCAAAACTAAGTGGTTCAAAAGATTAGCATCCTCCTGTTATTTTTTACCTTTCAAGAAAAGAAAACTAGACTAGGATTAGCAAAGAAAAAAGTCATCTTTCACAAAGACAATGATTGGAAAAATCAACAAATTATAATATGATTTGCTGCTATATGCACTTTAGTAATGTGAGTTAGCTCCATTAAATTTTTATCTATTTGGAAATAGATAACCTGAAAAAAATACATTGCTGGAGAGAAATTTTCTTCAAATGAAGATAAGATAACAGCAGTAGACTTATTTCATAGAGTTTCCAGAATCCATTTCATAGAAGGCATAATGTCATTGTTCAGTGTCATTGGACAAAATGTATTGATAATAAGGGACATTATATTGAAAAATAAAAATAATCTCAAAACCATATAAACCATTTTTCTATTTTATTACAAGAACTTTTTGAATGATTCTCATAATTAAGCAAGCAATTAAGAAAATTAACCAATAGGAATCACATTCTTCAAGTTATCAGCTGATATTTTAAAACTTTTTTCATAAATCTCTGGATTCTCAGTTATATTGCGGTTGTATGCTAGATTTACAAAAATCTAGCATACAACCGCATATTAATATACATATTAATTTAAGTTTACTTTCTTCTCTCTACCCTTTGTTCTATTGTTCTATTTTCTTCTGGAACTTTCTTATCTATTTCCTGTCCCTTGGGTGGGATGACCAGTTCCTAGAAATGTGAGGAACAAAAATGTAAACAGGACTGGAGGAAAAAGAAGTGACGTGGCAGGTCATTCTTAGGCTGGACTGCAGAGTGTACGGACAAGGTGAGAATACTAGGAGTCGCATTAGCAACAACCAGAGATCTCAGAAATAAGTTGAGAGAAAAGATCCTGTTTTAAGGTTGTATTGACGACAGTGGAAGGAAAAATCCAAAGTATTGAAGAAGAACTGGCCAGTTATAGGAGAAGAACATGTGTTATCCCACCGGACAGTACGCATAAAGAAACAGGCTGAAAAAAGGACAAGACCCTTGTATCCCTATTTCTATCGTATATATCATTTCTTTTGTCCTCTTAATTTATCCCTTTTTCTGTCATTAGTGTTAAGTTAGTGTTTAATGTTAGTTTTAAGGTTTTGGGTTATATACATTGTCGCAATCGGGATCTGTATTGTACACATGCTTTGGATATAATGATCTATTATTCTTGCTGTAATTTTGCATGCTACTATTTGTACCATGAAGTTGGAATCCCATGAAATAAAATCTGTATAAAGATGCTAAATAGTTTAATTGGAAAAATATATCATTATTAAAGGATACACTTATGTGTTGTGGCATTACAAACAATAATTGTTTAGAGTTTGGATAAGTTCACAAGTACTTTCGATAACATACAGTTACCATACTCAGGTATAAATCAAATACAACAGTTTATATTTTGAAATTTTCGAACAGCTTGTTGATTTGAACGAAGAAGTTAAATAGAACACCAATTTAAATTGAAATTGGGATATAGTTTAAAATATTTTCGCACAGCAGTATGAATGATGTAGTATTCACAAACAATAAGTGCTAAGCAACACTGGAGCTCTAGAAATCCAGATTGTAATGTTTAAACAGTGTTGTCCATATTTGTGGAATTTCTAGAGTTGTTGCATTGCATGGTGTAAGAGTCAATATATATAAGTTCTCTCAAATAAAAAGTTCTTTTTGAATGTTGCATCTTTTTAATAGTTTTGTTTGGGTCCAGATTGGCTGATATTCATGATCAAGCACTTTTTTCGCCAATTCCATAGATGGTCTACTATTTAGGATGTCCTCTTGATGTTCAGTGATGCGAGATAGTAGTGTTCTGGCTGTGGCTCCTATATAAGTAGTTTCCTCTCCTGATCGATCATGCTTTAATGAAATTTGATAAACTCCTGATTTTTCATTCAATTCAACAATGTCTCTGTCGTTACATAATAATCTTCTTAGCATTGGTTGTGTAGTTAGCTGTAAAATAAAACCAATCGCTCTAAAAAGACGTACTATTTTAAGAGATACGAGACAAAAACGGTAACAGGGGTGTGCTATTTTTAGCTCCTCTTTGTTAGTGAGAAAGGTTTGGACAACACTATTTAAACATTATAATCTAGAGCTCCAGTGTTGCTTAACACTTATTGTTTGTGAATACTACATCATTCATACTGCTGTGCGAAAATATTTTAAACTATATCCCAATTTCAATTTAAATTGGTGTTCTATTTAACTTCTTCGTTCAAATCAACAAACTGTTTGAAAATTTCAAAATATAAACTGTTGTATTCAATTTATACCTGAGGATGATAACTGTATGTTATCGAAAGTACTTATGAACTTATCCAGACTAAACAATCACCGTTTGTAACGCCACAACACGTAAGTGTATCCTTTAATATTGAAAAAGTCGGCGTGAAGTGATTATTACATCTGATATGAAATATATCCTGTCTGCCTTTGTGGTAAATTCTAATTTTGCACACTTTCACAATATATTAAAGGGCATTTCACTGTCTTGAAGTTATTAGATTATTTAGATAAAAATACAATTGATGTTGGAGGTAAAGCTAGTTTCTATGTGATCAAATAATATATATATTTCTTAGCTAAAAAAATTAATGTTATTAATAGAAATGGTTGAGCTTTGTGCATATATTTTGTCAATTAACATTGACAAGATATATGCACAAAGCTTTCACAATTATATTATGAAAATATGATTTTTCTTTTTATAAGAAACTAATTGTTTAATTAGTTAATATTTATTTAAAATTTTAAATAATTATGAAGTTAAAAATTATTTTAATTCTAGTACATGATCAATTTTAAATTTAAATCTCTATTTACATTATTCTTTTGTATTTGTGTGTTTAGCTGAAGATGGCCATATAAGTGACCAAAAGATCTCAATGTAAATAGTTTGGCTTTCTGAAAAACAGCATTTTAATCCTGCTAATTTATAATATGGTGCCAAAGTTTGTACAACTTCATGACTAATCGCTTAATTACTCTTTCATCAATGAAATTGTCATAAATTCTTCCAAATTTTATCAGATAATAAAAAGTTACTGGAAAAAGATTATTAATACAATATGATTAAAAAATTAATAAATAAAAAAGTTAGTTAAGAATTATAGAAAATATTACAAAAAGAGTAATTGAAAGACTTTCTAAACTTTATATTCAGAATATTTAATCTATACCATCACATTTTCTATTATATAACTAGGATCAGAAAAATTTTCTTTTAAAAACATTGGATGATTAATGCTCAGAAAAACTTTTAAAATTACCAGAAGGCATTATCTCCAATACCAAACGTGGATAAGCAGTATTAGAACAACTAACTTCATTTTGGCAATATTTATAGCATTCCTTTGGATCCACACATCCTACTTCATCTGAAATTGAAAAATACAATCATAAAACTTTAATATTAATTTTGCCAATTTAAATATAAATATTAATAATTTAAAAGAAATGTGTAAAACTAAATACATACTCATTATATAATAATTAGTATATTCAAATATCCATAATAGTCAACATAAAATCATTACCTTTTAAACATTATAAATCAAAATTGAAATACAGTAGACCCTCTATAACACTGGAGATAATTCCATGTTATATGAATTCCATGTTGTACAAGTCACTTAGATTTTACAAATACGTGTGCCAAGATGTGAACGACTCACGTATTTGTAAAATCTAAGTGACTCATACAACATGGAATTCATATAACAAGGAATTATCTAGTTTTATAGGGGGGTCTACTGTAAAAATTTTGTCATTTTATTGTTATGAACTAATTGTATTTTTTAATTAGAGTAATATTTGTAAAATAAAATTAAACATAATTGAAATTTGCTTATAATTATAAGCATATATTTTATTAGAATCTTGTAATATTTATCAAATGTCACATTTTTTTTTTTTTAATTCAAGGTAGTATAAAGAATTATAGAATTTAATAATCCCATTTAACTAAATATTTGCATTTGTAATGCAGAGTTATTCTGAGGTTTTTAAAACAGAAATAGAATAATATATAAATTATTAATTACAGATTTGAAAAATTTGTTTTTAACATAACTCAAAACTTTAGTGAATTTTTAAGAATTTTTTAGACAATACAAGATAATTTACTCTATTAATTTACTTATTTAGTTTTATGCAAATATTAATAATACAGATACTTAGTTTTAATCAATCTAAAATTATTTTAAGAATACTTATAGATTATAAATACAGGAATCAGAATCAACATTTTAGTAAAAAAAAATTAAGTAATTACGAGGGTTGTTTTTTTTCCTCTGATGGTCCATAAAACAAGTGTAAGTAACAAAATGAATTTATTACAAAAGTTAGGTACAAACATGGTTACTTTTTGACATAATCTCCATGAAGATTGAGGCATTTGTCATATCTGTGAATGAGCTTTTCCATCCCCTTGTCATAGAATGTTGCCACCAGTGAATTGAGATGGCCTTAATACCGTGTTTCCCCGAAAATAAGACATCCGCAGAAAATAAGACCTAGCACAGATTTTGCTGAATTGCGAAATATAAGACCTACCCCTGAAAGTAAGACCTAGCGAAGTTTTTTTTAGTCGTAACGGTCATCGACAGATGGTTGAAAGTGGCCGTTGGCTTTTTGAAAGTACAGCCACTGATTGGTCAGCAGACAATTACGCCACACGGCATGATTTGCATAAGACTATGGCTTGGGAATCACAGATTTGCATAACGTTACGGCTGGTGATGGCTAATTGGTCGGCCGGGAATCACGCCACATGACATTTGCATAGTGCTGCGGTTCAGTAAGCACTAATTGGTCATCGAGTCCGATGTTGACGTTATGAAAAGGCGACAGTTCAACACACCGGATATACGTCACTCTTGTCTATGTTCGACTTGGGAATTTTTTTGTTCAATAATAAATGTGAATTCTTCTTTCAGGAAAAAATAAGACATTCCCTGAAAATAAGACCTAGCGCATTTTTCAGAGCAAAAATTAATATAAGACACTGTCTTATTTTCGGGGAAACACGGTAACATTGTTTTGTAGATTGTCATTAGTCACAAACCTCTGCCCTGCTAGCCATGTTTTCAGTTCAGGAAAGAGGTGGAGTCTTCACACATTAAAAAGTTTTAAGCTGGGTGGAAGTCTGAAAGGTTCGAGACTAATGATGATCTACAAAACAATGTTAGGGCCCATCTCAAGTCATTGGCGGCAACTTTGACAAGGGGATGGAAAAGCTCATCCACAGATATGAAAAATGCCTCAATCTTCACATTGATTATTTCTAAAAGTAACCATGTTTATACCTAACTTTTAGTAATAAATTCATTTTGTTATTTACACTTGTCTTTTTTTTTTATGAACCATCAGAGCTCGAAAAAAAAAAAACAGCCTATGTAACTATAACTTTTTATATTCTATTTTTATTTTAACATTATTATATATGTTAAATATTTTAAAATATTAACTTCATAATTATAATAGTTATTGAACTGACAATTTAATAAATCACTTCAAATGTGATCATAATCACATTATATTACAAAAGTGTAGGTAGGATTTTTCCAAAAGTTTTATAACCAAATTTATACATGAGCTTTGATTAGTAAAATGGCATTACAACATTCGTTTTCTTTATTGTTACTTTTTCATGCTTCACTAATTTTTTATTGAGTGGCTATAATTGGCATTGTAGTGATCTGTCACTAAATTGTTCTTTTTGGTTTTTATAATTATATATCTTGTATATCGGTTTTGTTCTGTATCAGATTTTTGTTGTCACAATACCTGTTTACTTGTAAAACATTCTGTTTGTCATGTGCCTCCTTCTTTGGCAACTATTTACTGGCTCGTGGTTGGTTGTAATGACATCATGTGACTAAGGAGTAAGCCCCGGATGGTGGGGGGATATAAAGAGGAGAGTACAATATGTGCAAGCACCTTTTTTTTTCTTGGTTTTTGTGAGAGGACTTGTTGAGAAGACATGAGTGGAAGGCTTCAAGGGATCAGGTGAGGTGGTCTTGAGCAGAACAGTTAGTGGGGAAAGGAGAAGAATAGTGGTGAGAGACTGCCTCTGTTCTTTGGAGCTAAAGTTTGCATCGAGAGGTAGGGTGTCCAGAGTGAAAAAAAACTTGGTTAAGGAAGGAATTTTAAGGAAAGAATTCATACTTGCATATAGTTTGCCTTTTTATTCGTGTTTTGGTTGTACTAGATTCAATGAACGTGTTGGTGATCTCAGCATGTACTTGCCTTGTAGGTATATATTTTAATTATTGTTATTAGGTTAAGTATCATTGTAATATTAATAATTATTGTACTAGTGTGTCAATTGTCGAATCCTTGTGAGATATATAAACATTGTTTTGTATTAATTTAATTTGTATTTTGTATGATTCTTTTTTTATACATCCCTTGTACTCCTTACCAATGGTGAGACCAAACCTTGTCAATTCCTACTCACTACAGCATCAAGAATAATGAAAAACTAATTTTTTTCTTATTTATAAATGTCAAACTCATTATTTGTATTCATGATTTTTTTTAATGCTATTTAAAGAAAAATATAGGAATAAACTAAGAATCTGCACAATTTTGGCATGCATATTTGGTATCTTTTTAAAAAAGAAATTTGAGAGTGTGCTAGCATGTATTGTTGTTCAGACTCCATCAATTTAAATTCATGTTATTATGGTAACAATATTCTAAATGTAAACAAAATGGAGCAGCTTAATGAAGATTAAAAAAGAATTGCAGTTGGCAAATTTGACAAACACGAAAAAAGGAAAGAAATTTTAGTTAAGCATTTTGTGGATATAGAGTGGCAACAAGGATAGCTTATAGCATCATAGAAAGGCTGGAAAGTTCTAAGACTATTGCTAGATGTCCTGGGAGTAATGAAAGAAAATGACAGATAGCAAAAGGGAGTCTTTGGAAAGAGAGCAATTGGAAAAATTGTGCATTCACTAAGAAATCTTGGAAGTAAGTTCAAACTATCTCATCAGTATTAAAAACTTTTTAGTTGAACAAAATGTTGTACTTCAGAAGTGAAAGCAAGAAAAAAGGGGACAAATCACAAAAGGATTCTGTTGTTAAAAATTCAAGGCTACAAATGGAGATTGGAAGTCACTGTACTGAAAACTAGACATACTATTGTAAGAATGGGGTTGAGGTTGATCCAAAGGTAAAATTTAAATGCCAAGCAAAATTTTGTCAGAAAGTTTCGGTTGGGTAGCAATCTGAAGCATTCGTAGCACTCTCTTGCATCTGCATTGACAAAGAAGTATATATTAATATAAAGGAGTGTATTAAGTGGTTGATCCCATTCCTCAATAAACACCATTCATATGGTCTATATGTCTTCTGGCAGATCTCATAGCTGCATATTATGCAACAGATACAATTTTCCTTTCCTTCTAGAGCAGTGTTTCTCAACGGGGGCAATATCGCCCCTATGTGGTGTTTTTCCATGTTGAGGGGGCGATTAGTAACAATTTATATTTTGGGGGGGCAAAAAACAATTTTCTGGGTGATATAGTAAAACATTATATTAAGAATAATTAGATATTTTATTTGTTATATCGTACAATAATTAAACAAACAACATTATACTAGTCTAAATAAAATAAACCTTTAACTATCCAGTAATAAAAATGTTTAATAAAAACGTTTTTAACCTTTTTAAACGGCCATCTTCAGTTGAACCAATATTAAAAAAGAACACTAAAAAAGAACGCATGAAACACCTTGAAAAGATAGAGATACACAAGGCACACATAAATAAGTGATGCATTAATCATAGAGATGCGGAAGGGTTATCTTATGCCTGGAAATCCTTTTACAATAATGCAGATTAACACCTTGTAATCAACATATATTCTCCCCCCCTTTTTTTGGTGGCTTTATTATTTTTATGATATTTGCAAGTTATTTATAGATTTTCAGAAGACGCAAGTCCAATGAATTACGCATGCGCATTTCGGTTTCTGCTTAATTTGTATTTCGTGCGTTCTTTTTTAGTGTTCTTTTTTAATATTGGTTCAACTGAAGATGGCCATTTAAAAACGGTTGAAAACGTTTTTATTAAACATTTTTATTGCTGGATAGTTAAAGGTTTATTTTATTTATATTATTTATTCATTCCAGTATAAGTTCTTGTTTTTATTTATTATACTAGTCACTAGTCTATTCAATGCAGTACGAATTTGGTGTTAGTCTTGGTCCTCGGCATCGGAATTTTGAAGCGATAATAGGTAACAGTTTTATTGAAGGGGGCGACGATTCGTTAAAGGTTGAGAAACACTGTTCTAGAGGAATATAGAGTCCATTAAGTCAGCAAAGAGAACAATGTTGCAAACGTTCCTCAGCTGCAAACCTCAGTCGATTCCCCTATAACACGGGTTCCTATAGTTCAGATTCCTATAAGACAGTGAAAAAATTGCAATGGTATCCGTACAAACATGGAAAAAAAAACTCCTATAATTCG